GCTGAGCACTGATTATACTCTGTTATTATACTCATTAACTGCCTGGTTCTGGCCAAAAGCGGATGGGCTCGCCCTCTGAGCTGGGTCCTGCTCTGGAGGGGAGTGCCAGCTTTGGGCTCTGTGTAAAGCTGCCTTCTGCCACTCTAAAAAGCCCTGTACAAATAATACTGAACTGAACTGAAACTCCTTCACAAGAACAATATCCTGCATCAATCATAACATAAGCATGGTTACTATGGGTACAGACACAGGCAGTTGGCACACCTACCTGCTGGCAGGAAGTTGTGAGCGGCCTGGCGCTGGGAGAGGTCCAGCTGGGCCTGGACCCTCTGAAGATCTGTTGCCATGGCGGTGAGCGTCTTCTCCAGGCTGATGCCGCCGGTCACGTCCTGCTGTTTGTGTGGGGCGGGGCCGGCCTTGCTGATACCCAGGCAGGCCTGCTCCAGCTTGCCCATCCGTGCGGCCTGGTGGCGGCTGGCATCCTGGAGCTGCTGCAGGGCTCCTTCCTGCCGAGCCGCCGCTCCCTCTACCCGCTCCAGCGCCTGCTCCAGCTTCCCGCCCACCTGCGCCGCCAGCCGGTCAGCCGCGGCAACACAGGTAGGGGCATCACCAGGGGCGACCCGCCGGAGCTCCGACCTCAGGGCCTGCAGCTCCGCCCTGACGCCCTCATCCACGGAGTGCAGCAGCATGTTCTGCCTCATCTGGGAGTCCTCCAGCATGGTGAAGAGCTTGTCCCAACGCGACAGCTCCTGGGCCTGGCAGGGGGGCAGCGTGGGGCCCACTGCAGGGGCGAGGGGGAGGGGGATGAAAGGGGAAACACCTGTGAGTACCTGTGCTTGGAATAGCTGGGGATGTTGTGGTGAAAAAGGAGCGATGGACAGACTTACATATTGAGAGAAGGGTGAATACGTTTGGGGAAACGTAAGGAATTCTGAAGAGAAGGACAGATACAGGAAGAGAGAGAGAAAAAGGGGAAAGACAGAGAGAGAGAGAAGAAGCAAGCAAAAAAAAACATACAAACATCCATACGTACATGCATAGAAAGACAGAATGGTGACCATCACAGACCTGTGGATGAAGATAAGGCTGAGATTGTGCATTGAGGCAAAAGTGGAGGCAGGAGGGGAAAAGAAGGGGAAGCAGGGTCAAGAAGGTGGAGGATAAGAGTAGTGCACTGCAGGAGGAATCAGAACTTTTTGTTCCCTTGTCTGAAGCGAAGATGTGTTCGTCAGGAGTTAGGGTGGATCCCCACACAAATCTCTGGACCAAAGTATATCCAGGGTTATCCTGCCCTGACATGTTTATGATGTGATAAATATATGGACTTTTTCTGAAGCATATTTGTAGTTTTGTCAGTAGGAAACATAACCTGACAAATATTAAATCCAGATTTAACTTTCAGTCATATGTTATCCTTTCAGTTCTCTGGATGTTATATGTGTTTTTTTCCTGTCTCTGGGTGTCTCAGTCAAGCACAGAGTCTGAACTTGATGTTCCCATTCCAGACTTCCGCCCAAAGATGAAATTACTGACAGAAGTGTGACAGGCATGTTGGTACCGTCCGGATGTCTCCTAAAACCACCCCCCATCCTGTGGTGTAAATGCAGAAAACGGCTGTGTGAGGGACCGAGAGATGCCCCTCAAACTTCAGCAGCTCTGCGCTCCGAGCGAGGCGGTGAAAGGGCTCTGTGTGTCCCCGGCTGGGGGCTGTTAATTTGGAGTTTTTCTGGCAGGACTCCCACCCCCCTGCTGTCATTCCCATTCAGCCAGCATTGGTGATTTTTTTGGTAGAGGCCGTTGCCTGCATTTTGCCTAATGACATTTGGTAGCCACATCAAAGCTTCAGCTTCTACACAGTGCGCTGTCTTCAGACTTTTTTTTTCTCCTTTTTTGATTGTTCACTGTGCCATGCAGAATTACTCAGAAAGTACCTCCAATTAAGCTCAGCCTGTCATTCATTAATTTCCTGTTTGCTCAGACTCTGTGGGTGACTGAGAATGGCACCTGGCTCCCTACCCCCGACCCTTGCAACCATGGGGGAGAGGGGGAGCTGAGCTGCAGTGAAGACAAATTTGGAAAGTGGAAAAAGTAAAAAAAAAAGCACTCACCATCCCGTTCGTCTTCCGTAATTTCATTGTAGTAAGAGACGTCGTAGTTCACCTGAAAGTCATCGTCCTCATACCCGTGTACGCCCGTGCAAAAGAGGAGACAGGTGGCCAGCAAAGCCAATGGCAGAGACATGCCGGTGTGTGTGTGTGTGTGAGACAGACAGAGAAAGAGAAATTCAGCAAGATGCCCCCTGTCTGTCCGTCCGTCTGTCTGTCTGTCTGTGAGATCGGTGGAGTTTATTCCTTCCTTGCCGTTGAGCGGTGAGCAGAGTCTTTGGCAGCAGAGTGCTGACTGAGCCTGCACAGGACTGAGCGGTCTATATAAACACACTGAGCCGAGCAGGGGAGATGGGTGAGTAATGCTTCGCTGGAGGTAGCGTGTGTGTAATCAAATATTGCAGCTTCCCCTGCTGCTATGGGCGGGAGGGAAGGGTGGGGGGGGGGGGGGGGAGAGAGAGGCAGAGAAAGACAGGGAGAGAGAGAGAGGGGGAAGGAAGGAGAAGGAGAGAGGGAGGGTGAGAGAGAGGGAGGGAGGGGAGGTCGAGCTGGGTTTCCTAAATCTCTCTCCTCAGGGAATTCTGACTTTTTTTCTACTTTTTTTCTGGCTGATGGTGAAATTGTAATGACTTCCTGATGAGACAGACCCCCAATATGACTGGTGAGAACCTCTCTGCCTGGTGAAAGCAGTGCAGTTCAGAGTGATAGTGCCAGGTTTATACCTCTCTGCTGTAAGCCTGGTGAAAGCAGTGCAGTTCAGAATGATAGTGCCAGGTTTATACCTCTCAGCTATAAGCCTGGTGAAAGCAGTGCAGTTCAGAATGATAGTGCCAGGTTTATACCTCTCTGCTGTAAGCCTGGTGAAAGCAGTGCAGTTCAGAATGATAGTGCCAGGTTTATACCTCTCTGCTGTAAGCCTGGTGAAAGCAGTGCAGTTCAGAATGATAGTGCCAGGTTTATACCTCTCTGCTGTAAGCCTGGTGAAAGCAGTGCAGTTCAGAGTGATAGTGCCAGGTCTGTGTGTCTCACCGATATCACGTGTTGAAGGTGGACCTAAGATGAAGTCTGAGACTCAAACCAGAGAGCTTACCTGAAGGATAAACTTCAAAGACAGAACCTCTGTTCAAACATCAGGCGTGTGTAAAGTATGTGATGCTTCCTTGAACCGGCCTCTGAGAATCAGTGTGGAGATCACCGCTTCTGTTTGAGCTGGTCTCAGATTGTCCTGAGCTCTTGGGGCACCTGACCTAGAGCTGGCCTAATCTCTGGCTCCTAAGTGGGCTGGCTCTGCTTACATACACCAGCAGTCGGCTTTTACTTCAGACTAAAGTCATCATGGAAGGGGGTTTGAAATTATGAACTGCCAAAGCCAATTGAATCGAAACCAAAATCAGAAACCTGCTGCTACCAATCAGACAGGGGGAAACCTTGGATACAAAATCAGCAAATCTGTGCAGGACAGAGGCCAAGTGACGCCATGACTGAACAGCCACACTCTAGCCCAGCAAACAAACAGCCGAATGACTGAACAGCCACACTCCAGCCCAAAACACAAACAGCCGAATGACTGAACAGCCACACTCCAGCCCAACACACGAACAGCCTAAAGACTGAACAGCCACACTCTAGCCCAACAAACGAACAGCCGAATGACTGAACAGCCACATTCCAGCCCAACAAACGAACAGCCTAATAACTGAAAAGCCACACTCCAGCCCAAAAAACGAATAGCTTAATAACTGAAAAGCCACACTCCAGCCCAGCAAATGGCCTGTCCCACTGTTCCTGTCCCACTGTGGCCAGACTCAGAAATGGGGCCTCCTGGTGTGAGGTGCGGACAGCCTGGCTTAAATGGAAACCCATCAGTCGTGTGCACAGACAGCACCATGCCGAGGTCACACCCCCAGCACTGTGGGAGGACAGAGGTGTCATGATAAACGCCTGCCTGCAGCATCAAAGCACAAGTGCAGACGCGCGGGCCTGGACAGACCTGGGGGTAATCTGACCGGCGCTGCACTAGACGAATGCTTGCCATTCTTGTGGGAGGAAAACGGTTTTTTAAACTTTTTTTTTTTCCATGGGCTCTTGACATGACTTGCCCGGAATAAGCATTCAGAAAATTTGCTTCAGGCAACCCTGTATACAGAGTGGACAATCAAACATTGTGTTCTCGCCGTTCACCGGAAATGTGCCTTTCTCTGGCTGGCTCCTGCTGTTTGTAGGGCAGCCGGGAGTCCCTGGGTGTTGATGGTCCAGCCACACCACCTATGGCCAGAGGTCCACATCTTGAGGCAGAAAAGGCCTCAGACTCACTGGGGAATGATGGGGGTAGACCGGTCAAGATTCATCAGTCTCATCGCTCTCTAGTGGACTATCCTGGCTAGCTGGATGCCTGCAAGTGTATTTGTTGACTTGGTTTTTCTCAGACGGCATAGGTGGTGTGTAAATCGATGACATATCTGCAGTGTGGAAAGCAGTGAGGGCGGGTTGTCATGGGAGTCAGAGGAGTCACATGTTCATGGCTTCCTCCTCACAATCCTGTGGGAGGTGTTCACTGAGGTGAGGTGATGAGTTCAGTTCAGGATGGGGAAACGAGGCGGGTGGGGGGGGGGGCGTTCTGCTGGTTTACAAACCTCAGAGGTCCTGGTTCATAAACTTTGGTCTCTTCGGGCAAAAACACATCAAAGTCCGAGCACAGCAGCCTTACCTCACCGACATTCTTGATCATCAGGGGAAATCTTCCATACAAGAGGTACCACGTTGGGGCAGACTTCTTTGTGGTTCTGGAGATTTGAGAATATGACCTTGGTTCACTGCCAGCCGAGGTTGGAGAGAAAGGCCCAGAACACTGAGTTATGTTCCCTGTCAGGTGGAAGATGTGGAAGATGTATGAGCGCACAGGGGCCTAGCGGTTTGAGCGCCATGCTCCAGACCTGGGGGTCACAGGTTTGATTCCTGGAGGAGCACAGCTGTGGAGCTCAGGAGGATTGGTTCCTTTACTGTGGGTCCCTCCTGTGAACCTCCAGATGTGTAGATGTGACCCAGCATGGGCGAGACTGAAAACTCCAGCTTGTTCTACGCTCCCTGGACATAGCCATCTGCTGAGCAAATTGAAATATTAAGAGTCATGTAGATTTAACCATGTCATTTATAACCACAGCATGCAATATATCTCTGATGTATATAAGAGAGATGTATTAATACATTTTCAGTCTTTCATTCATATATTACATATTTTACATGTGGGGCACATTTAAATGTTTAAAATCTGTCTTTGTGTGGCAAATGAGTGCTTTATTTTTATTAGACATTATACATTCATGAAAAGATTTTGCTGATGTCTGTCCTCCCTCTATGTGAAACAGGTTGAGAAAGAATGATGGCAAAGGATTTAGTGTGGAGAGCACCAGAGCTTATAATCGCTATAAAAACACATCTTGTCATTGTTATAAATAAAGCATTCAATAAAACAGCCCAATTAATATCTGCTCATCTTGTTATGGATACACTGACAATAGCCTGTGTTATTTCAGTATCTTTTCAGTATCATGTCATCAGTCAGTGTCATCCGTCAGGGTCACTGTCATGTTTCATTTCATCTTCATGGAAACCTACATTTTTATATATACTGTATGTACATTGCTATTTTGATGTTCGAAGTATGCAAGTATTTAGGCTGTTCTCTAACAACCCTATATAATTAATATGACATTGTTTCATTTCTTGCAAAGCCATTATTTTCCTTCCACATCGCTTCACAAAATCTCAAAAATGATGACAGTAACATCACATTCCAAAACTCAGGGAGTTCAGATAGAGGAGAAAAGAAAACAAATGGAGTAGAAAACTTCACCTGAAATTCGTTTGAAGTTTTTCAATCACTATGGGGCTCCAGAAAGCACAAGTGCACACTTGTCCAGCACACATCAATCCATGAATGTTGCATGAACATTGCCGGAAATTTGAGCAATTTGAGTGGAAAGCACACCCTGCAGCCACTCCTGGTCAGCCCGTTGACCACTGATGCATGAGCAGAGTATATACTGACTTTGTTATCCTCTGACAACAAAGGCAGCATGTAATTGATCTTGCCTCGGCAATGTGGAAAGCAGTGAGGGCTTGTTGTCACATGAATCAGAGGAATCATGTACAATGCCTGCTTCTTACTGAGTCGGTGGGAGCGGGTGGTTAAAGGACAGTTAAACAGTTTGGCTGTGTTCGGGTGGCAAAAATCCAAAAAAAAAAAAAGTACAATGTATTAACACATGTAGATAATCTGGAAACACTCACAGTTTTGCAAGAGACTGGTATTTATATTGCAGAGCTCGGATATCAGATTTGCTAGCCTCTTTTTTTTTTTTTTGTGAGGGCCAATGCCTGTAGAGCATTGTATCTAAAAGTTGGTTTTCATGCATCAGTTTTCACCTCTTGTCTTTGCCTTAGTGTCATTTCGATGTTAGTGTCGAAGAGGACGGCCATCTTGCAGGCATCCAGACAGAGCTGATTCCAGTGACCATGGCAACGTATTGTTTACTGTTTTTGTAACTGCTTGGGTAGAATATGGGGGAGCTGGTCACATGGGTGGAGCAGGGGCGTGGTTTCATGTCTTAATGCTCTGAACTGAGACTCTGGTGTGGCTGCTTGTGTGCTAAAATCTGCTTTTGTCTCTCGAACATCAACAGCCCTGTTTCTGCCCACTGACTGCGGAAAGACATATATCCACAAACGGCAGTAAAAAATGGTTCCCTCCCTCTTATTTTTGTGTAGAGGTCAGACGCTTGTTAAACACGCCCACGGTAAGCTCGAACCTCTCACCCATGTCTGGGGTGCGGTGCGACTTGTCAGGTCTAAAAAATAAACACACTCACCTAATTTTAGAGCACAGTCATTGGTGCATAGTCATTATGCATTTTGTTATATCTAATTGATTTAATAAAAACAATGAAAAGAACTTTTGAAAAGAACTTTTGGAAGAACCAGAGTCAAGTAGGGGAGTCCATACCCGATTGGCCAGCCCAGGGTGTGAGTCAGCAACCAGTGAGGTCAACGAGATCAATAATGCTTAGGAACTAGGCTAGGTTGGACATAAGAACAATTTTATGTCACCCGTTGAGTTAAAAGTGAATATGTACGGCACTGAGTTTGGTTTTTTAATAAGTTACAGCTGAACTTACACATAGCTGGTCCAGTCCCAGGTGGGACACAGCCATTGTTTCCTTAAGCAAGACACTTAACTGGAATGACTCCAGCAAATATCCAGCTGTATATAAATCACATTTTAAGCTGTGTAAGTCTGTGTGGTTAAGAGTAGCTGTTGCATGTGTAAATTTAAAGAGCGTAACTGAGTGTGCACAGAGCGCCCGTATTCTACCTGCCTGTGCTCCCCATGCTCAGAGAATCAGGGTCGGGACCCTGTGCTCTCAGGCGATTTTATGTGTCTGTGTTGTTGTGGCCTTTGAATGCAGGGGATCAAATGACCGACTGTTCAAAGGAGCAGCAGATGCTTAAGTCAGGGCGGTATGAGAAGCAATAAATCCTAGCTTTCTACTGTCTCGCATTCCTCTGAATAACTAATAAATATTGGTTCAAGCACACACGTCTGTGTGTGCCCCTTCCTCACCCACACACACATACTCCCACTCATTCTCTCTAACTCTCACACACACAAACACACATAACAGACACATGCACACATGCTTCAGTTACAGGTGAGCTGTCATCACTGCTTTGAAGAGGTGGATCATTATGGTGGTTTGTGTATTTGTTGTTCTTGCTATCATGGCAGTGGAGTAAATGGGCCCCAGTGTGGCACCAGCGCGGGTCAGAGAAGCAGAGACTGAAGCCGTTAACTTTGGCCAAGGCCATCCAGGGCTCTCAGAGTAAGCACAGTGTACGGCTTTGGGAGCACTCCCTCCCTGTGGACGAGAGTGACATGCTTTCAGGAGCGCATACAGGAGTCAGGACACGCGTTCTGATTTCTTGCATTGTGTTGTATTTTCCCACCGTCTGGACTGGAGTGGGGAGAGCAAGGAATTTTAGTCGTCTGGCTTGAATGAGTTTCCCACTGTGTCCCTGTAACATACTGTAGAGCTGACCTGTAAATGGATATGTCCCGCAGGAAAACCGTGCAAATTCTTTTTTTTCTAAACTTTTCTTTTTTGGGCGATCGGGAGGTAGGGGGATGGGGGACGAGGGGATGGCGTTAGCATAACATTTTTTACTGTAATTAATGGTAAATAATGCTCCTTTCATGCAAAGCAATCCCCTGCAGACGCCTCGGATTACTGGCTGTTGTCAGATTTAGGGGCATATTTAGGGTTGGGGGCTAGATGTACTACCCTCTGTCTCCAGAACCCCATTCCAGAACGGAGTCACACATCTGACATATGTGGTGCAGGATGATGCTTCTTAGCCTGAGAGAATACCCCAATATTTACTTTAATTAATCTGCCATTCCCCTGCTGGCCATTTGAGACAAATATGTCAAAGATTAACAAAAAGATTATTCGATTAGTCTATAGTATAATTTTAACATGAATGCAATCAATATTTCAGTGCTGAAAAGTGTCAAGTTCCACCTTCCATTTCACAGCAAAACCCTGCCTGAATTAATTAAATTTTTCATATGAATTGAATCTTTAAGTCCATGTTTTTGCAAAGTCAGCAAGATTGTTTTTGTGGACATTCATCCCTCCTGGGTTTAGCCACCTCATTACACCCCTGTACCACAGAACTGAGCATAATCTCACTTCTGCTGAACTGTGGAAAAGCCCTCAAAGTACTATGGGGCTCTCACAGTTAAGGCACCTTTTCATGGTGCAGCTGTGAGTTCAGAGACTGGATCAGTCCCAGCCACACCATAACTGGCCACGGATGGACATTTACACTGGCGAGCCAACTACAAACTCAGCCTGGGGAAGGATAGGAGGAAAGCTAGTTAGGGTTCATCAATCTTACTGCTCTCTAGCGGCCACTCCTGGTCAGCCGGATGCCTGCAAGCAGGTGAACCATATATATGCTGACTTTGTGTTCCTCCCACGGCATAGGCAGTATTTAACTGGCAACACATCTACAGTGCGGGAAGAGGAGAGGGCTGGGTGTCACATAAATCAGAAGGGTCACGTGTTTACGGCTTCCTCCTCCTGAGTGGGTGGGAGAGCGTCCCTGTGGTGGTCTGACAAGTTCAGTTTTATGGTGGGGAAACAGGGAGGGAGAAAAACAACAAAAAAGACAACATGTAACACCTCAGAATATAGCCCAGAGGCCAAAGACACATGTGCCTCTGACATGGGAAACACACCATAAAACCACAGGCTTTCTGATGACATTTGGTAGTTTCTGTCTGTTCACCCATCTAACTGGCATTTTACTGATGTTCTAAGTGGAATAGTCAACCCCATAAAGTTAATGAAGAGCACCTCAGGATTCAGCTGCAGGACAAAGGTACTATCCTGCCATAAAGCCATGTTTCTGTAACAGTGGGAAAAATCTCATTGATAATCTGTCTATTCATCCACAATCTTACATCTGCTCTAGCTACTTTACCTCAACAAGAACTCGTTGGACTATGGAGGTAAAGACACATTGTCACTACATTCAGAAATGAATGAGTGTAGAAATGAATGTGTGAATGAATGGGCAAAACATTCCCTATCCTCTGTGTGACCCCCCCCCACCCCCCTGTTCCCTCTGACTGGCCAGTGTCCTGTTGCTGACACAGTGGAGTGGAACTCCTTGCTTTATTTGGCCAACTCCTCCACATACACCCCCCATCCCGAAACAGAACCCCTGTGCTGGCACCCACACAGGAAGTGAGGGAAGGGGGGGGGGGGGGGGGGGGCTGGGTTCAGAGGCACCCCCCCATAACCCCCCTCAGATTCCTCCCCCAGCCGACCCTGCCAGTGAGCTATAACACAAGCCATCACCCTTCATACAAAGGCCCCCACCAGCAAAAATTACCTCCTGA